TGGCACTTCAGAGCGATGGCAACATGTTCTGGAATGTCACCTGTCTGGGTGCTGAGAATGGTATTCACTCTCACAGTAAATGTGACAAAGCCTGAATGGTAGTTTTAGACCCTAATATTTTTTTTTTTCTAAATCATTTTATCCCTGCCACTCGATGGCACTTAACAACAACAACAAATCATTTTATCAATGAATTGATGTCAATGGGGAAGAACAACTCAGAAAGAAGCATGAGAATGTAACCATTATCATGGAGTAACTACTGAATTGGTGGTAGTTTTACCAGATATATCTCAGTAACAACATTTTAAAACATTTTTAAAAATAAAAAAACACCCTACTTTAAAAGGAAAAAAATAAATCTAGCAGGCATTGGTATGTTCAGTAATGATCATTTTGGTGGGTGAAAATTCTCTATTAACTACAGAAATGTTCAGTGAACAAAGTAATAAGATAAGCAAATGCTGGTCATCATAGAAAAAGTCTAGAGCTGATGCTAATGGTTAACTAATAAAAGATTAGAAAAATACATAGTTGAAATTATGAAGAATTATAGAGTCTTTTGAATCATGTTAGATTTTCCTGAATTATTTCTGATATAAATTGATGGTAAAAATGTTCTCAGGAAAGTCCTAATTGAGTACAAAATATGGACTGGTTAAAGATACTGAGAGAGTAATACATTCTATCATAACACTATGCCCAAGCAAAGATAATACATTCATTCTAAGAAATCTCAGTATCATTCTAGTTCTAGGTTTTTTCTAAGCAATGTTTGTTATATGGACTCTGTAGTAGTAGTTGTTATTGTTGTTAGAGGCCATCAGGTCAAGTACTATCCATAGGGACTTTCTGAACAACAGAGCTGAACCCTGTTTCTATCGTGTGTCAACCTCACACTTTCTGACACACGGTAATATCCTTTGTGACAGTCACTGTGTCAATCTACCTAGCTGAGAGTCTTTCTCTTTTACCAACCCTCCACTTTCCCAAGCATGATGTCCCTCTCCAAGGAATAGCCTCTCCTAGCAAGATGTATAAAGTATGTGAGATGAAGATTTATCATCTTTGCTTCCAATGTGCACTCTCTCCAAGACGTATTTGTTCTGCACTCTTCTCCAACACAACATTTCAAAGGCATCAACTCTTCTTCTTTCTTTCTTTTTTTTTTTTTGGTTTTCAACTACTTTATTTATAAAATTCGAATACATTGTTCCCCAGAACAAATTATTTCCATTTCCCTCACCCCATCAAATTTTACAACCCCATGATTAATCGTCCCTTTCCCCTGCACATCCTCATCCCTCTGCTTCCAACCTCTCCCACCCCTCTTGGATCCTACATCAACTCTTCTTATATCATCTTTATTCATTGTCCAGCTCTCAGATGCATAGCAAGTGATTGAAAAGACCATAGCCTGATTAAGGTCCACCTTAGTCCTCAAACAGATATCATTGCTCCTCAATAATTTGGAAAAGTCCTCAGCTGTGGACTTTCCCAGTGCAATATGTCTCCTGATCTCCTGACTGCTGGTACCAAGAGTATGATTGTGGATCCAAGTAAGATGAAATTGCTTAAAGCTTCAATCTTTTCTCCATCTATCATGGTGTTACATATTGGTCCAGTGGCACAATTTTTGTTTTCTTGATGTTGAGATGCAATCCCTGTTGAAGGCTGTATTCCTTGAACTTCTGCAGCAAGGGCCTCAAGTCCTCTTCACTTTCAGCAAGCAAGGTTGTGTCATATGCATAATGCAGGTTATTTCTGAGTCTTCCTCCAATCCTGATGTCACATTCCTCTTCAAGAGTCCGGAATCTCAAATAATTTGCTCAGCATACAGATTGGACAGGTATGGAGAAAGGATACAACCTCCTTTCTTAATTTTTAAACCATGTAGTGTTCCCTTGCTCTGTTTGTACAATAGCCTCTTGGTCTAGGTATAAGTTTCACATAAACATAAATAAGTGCTCTGGGATTCCCACTCTTCTCAATGTTAGTCAAATGTCTTTGCATAGTCAATAAAGCACAAGTAGACATTCTTCAGTATTACTTACTTTCAGGCAGGATCCAACTGACATCAGCAATGATATCCCTGGTGCCAAGGCCTCTTCTAAATCCCATTTAAACTTCTGGAAGTTCCCAATCTATATACTTTTCTAGTTGGTTTTGAATGATCTTCAGCAGTACTTTGCTTATATGTATTATTAATGATATTATTTGATAATTCCCACATTCTTTTGGATCACCCTTTTTGGGAAGGGGAATAAATATTGATCTCTTCAGTCAGTTGGCCAGACAGCTATCTTTTAAATTTGCTGGCATAGATTGGTGAGCACACGCAATACTCTATCTGTTGGCTGAAACCTGTCAATTGGTATCCCATCGATTCCTGGGCCCTTACTTTTTGTCACTCCCTTCAGTGCAGCATCAGCTTCTTTCTTCATTCCCACTGGCTCCTGTTCATATGGTACTTTCTGAAATTTTTCAGTGTCAGTCAATTCTTCTTGGTACAGTGACTCTGTGTGTTCCTTTCACTTCTTTTGATGTTTCCTGGATCATTCAACATTATTTCCCCACAGCATTCTCCAAAATTGGGACTCAAGGCTTAAACTTGTTTTTCAGTTCTCTCAACTTGAGAAATGCAGAGCAAATTGTTCCCTTTTTATTCTCCAATCCCAGCTCTCTGCACATTCCATTATAAATAATACTTTGCTTTGTTTTCTTGAGTTGCCCTTTGAAATCTTCCGTTCAGCTCTTTTACTTCGGAATGTTTTCCCTTTGTTTTGCCTTCTCAGTGCTCTAATACAACTTTTAGAGTCTCTTCTAACATCCACTTAGCTTTTTTCTTTCTCTTCTTTGTTTGTAATAACCTCCTGCTCTCTTAGGGGGTGATATCCTTGATGTCATCCCATAACTGATCTGGTCTTCGGTCACTGGTGTTCAATGTCTCAAACATATTCTTAAGATGATTTTTTAATTCAGGTGAGATAGACTCAATCATATTTTGGTTCTTGTGGACTTGTTTTCTTTTTCATCCTCAATTTGAATTTGTACATGAACAATTAATGGTCTGTTCTATAGTCTGCCCTGGCCTGGTTTTAACTGCTAATATTGAGCTTTTCCAATGATTTCTTCCACAGATGTTGTCAACCTGATTCCTATGTAGTCCACTGAGTCAGGAAGAAGTGTAAAGTTGCCATTTGTGTGTTTTTTTAAAAAAGGTATGAGATGAACATACAAAATTTAATCATACTATTTCCAGTCTCATTTCTGTCACTTCATATGAACTATAGCAAACAGAAATATTAGAAGTAGTATTGATTGATGTGATTATTATCATTAGTAATGTGAGCATGTAACGACTCGATGGCACATAACAACAACAACAATGTGAGCATTTAGCAAACTCTTGTATTCAGAGGTATCCTCTGCTTCCTGTTAGTATTATCATCTGTACAGAAGCACAGTGTTATCTCTACCATCTCTAATTAACTAACTTAATTAGTACATTACTTTACTACTTAATTAATTAATCAGCAAATTTCTCTTGACCTGATCTTTCAATAATCAGGAAAATCAGAATGCAAATGAGAAAAGATAGCCAACAAATAATGAAAGATGATAAATCAGATGCTGACAAAACCTTTATAGAAGTCATCACAAAATGTTTCCATTGGTAGCTATAAATCCCCTTGAAACAAATGAAAATATAAAAAAAATCTCCTCTAAGAAAAAAAATTCAATGTATTTTAAAACTGAAAGTATATAATTGCAAAATACAATAACCAAACCGAAAACTCACTGTTGTTGTTGTTGTTATGTGCCATCAAGTCGTTTTCGACTCATAGCGACCCTATG